GCTACTCATTAACTTCAAAAAATCCTCCCAGAAATAAAAGCAACAATGAAGAGGGCTCTCTAAAATTAGTAACAGTATTTTGGGTCATACAAAAGTTATAAATAAGAAAAATGAAACTAAAAAGCAACACAAACAATGAATTACCAGAAGAGCTCTTGTCACTGAAATCTGAACAGCAAAAGCAACTCCTTAGCTGGGTGGATGACAAAATCTCAGAACTCTATAGTATGCAAAACTGGGTTGAATAAATAACTTTTTTTAACATGCTCAATTTACGTTAAGGATAAAAAGAATCCCACAAGCCTACTCTGAAAGGAAATGTTCATATCTAATCCCCAGAATACTATTAATATCTACTCCTACGCTCTAATTTTATTTCAACATTTAAAGTCTGAGATTCAGAAAATCCTACCTAGGGACCAATTCATATAAAAAGAGAAAACACCTCTGAACAAAGACTGTTTCCAATCATCCTTTAAATAAAAAAAGAGATAAGTCAGCCTGCACAAACACAGTCACAGCCCATGGACCACGCTTATCCCAAGCTAAGAGCCCCCTGCAATTTAATGTGCACATCAATTTAATACCTAGCTGTGTTTGATTTTTATATTCCTAAATTTTACCATGCCAGGCGTGGGGCCAACAGAAGATAAAGTAAAAATCTAACAACTGCCTCTGTAATTTCATCTGCGGGCTCCTTTTATGAGGAACTGATGCCCAATTTTAATCTCCAAGTAATGTCACAGTAATAAAACCAAACTAACTCTCCTCCCTACACACCTCCTACACTACCTTGATAAAATCCAGTATTAGTCCATTACTGATCCTAATAGAGATCATTACCTCAGCAATTTCCTCCTTGGGGCTGCCAATCAGCAGGTCGAAAGAAAGATAGAAAGAAAGTTCTGATGAAGGATATGCACTTTGCTTCACTGGAGTCCCCTTCTTCAGAAAAATTGGTCTGCTCCAAAAGAAAGGGTGGAAAACATGGACTGGTCCTCTGAGACAAGGTTTCCCAAGACCTGCGATTTGCTGACATGTGGGGAGTTATGATGTTATAAGAGGAACCCTGATGACAGCAATACTATCCCACACTGCTCCTAGGATGTCCAGAACAATCTAAGGGATGATGATAAACTTCACATGTGAGGGGAGAGGGCCCTGCCTGACACACACAGCCGCCAGGCACATGAAAGAAACAATATAAACTTGATTTAAATGTGGGATCTCTTCCAGAAGGCTTAATTATCTATTGTATCACCACATTCCTGTTAATCAGCAGCCTCTTCTGTCTCCAACTTAAGTCCAGCTACAGTATTTGTCTGGAACACATTCAGGGAAAACTCCAAACCAACCAGATCCTAGAGGACTCAGTTAAATAGGGAACAATAGTTATACAAGTAGAAGTTTCCCCAAGCTGAAAAACACTGGTTATTTACTAGCTTTCAAGAACGTCAAAGACAGTTGAGTCCAACGTTTAAGCATCTACACCTATAGCATCCTGAGTTTTATGTGACATGATGCTCCTTCAGCAATTCTGTGCATGTATCATCCCACCGAACTAGCTATTTTTCGTTGATGGCCATGTCGTGAACAATAAAGGTCACCTCCAGTTCTTAATTTCTGGATATTCATAAATCAGTTTTCTACACTCCAGCTTTAAATGCTTATTTGTTTTGGATGCTGAGAAGATAAATTATTCCTAAGAGTGTCATAAGTATGAGACAAATATTTAACAAAATGCCCTGAAGTCCTCAAGTGGATGGTTGTACGTCTAAATTGCCACTGTCAATTCAATTTTTTAAAATTAGACAAATATGGTGTTTGACATCAAGAAGATGCAACAACTAGTTGATAGAGTAGAATTTTCACTTTTTAACTGGCTGTCTGACACCATGAACAGGCAGTTCATAATTCAAATGCAAAAGTGCCCAACAGCCAGAAATGCACATACAAATGGCTAGCATAAATATGATAAGGCCACTGTGTTAATATGTTTATGAACTCCACTGAAGACTGCACATTAGCTATATGGTTTGTTTTTTTTTTTAATGTGCAGAAATAGCATTTGAACTCCATTTATTCTGGAGACAAGGGCACTGCCTGAATGTTCATTTCTGTGAATTGTTCCATAATTCACCACCAGTGTTGTCCTATAGCTTTAACTTCTATCTTAATTTCCTCTCCATTCGTCTTGGCTGGGCCTCAAATTTTTAAAAAGATCCAAAGGAAAAAGGCAAAAACTATCTCTATAAATGCATTTGTTAAAGAGGAAATGTGCTGTCTGTTTTATGACTATTATTTAACATTAAACTGCATCCCCCAGAGGATAAATTTCTTCCAGACAACTTCTATTCAATACTTAGTCCTATGGTCTAAGCAGAGGTTTACAACAAATACTCAATAGCTAGGATAATATAGGCTATAAGCCTCCTGAAGGCAGGCTTTGAGACATTTTCTCAATATTTTCCCATCACCAAGCCTAGTTCCTTGCCTGAATAAAGGGAAATGTCTTGCTGAATAAAGGGAAATGTCTTGAGCCTAATTTTAAAACAAACAAACAAACAACCCCCCACCCTTCCCGTTTTACAGCAACTACCAAGAAGACTAATGCCATTAAGAGTACCAAATATACTACATCCCGGTTTGGTTGAAAGAAGAATGGGATGTGGATGGGACACAGCAGAGAAAAACCATAATTAAATTAATCTAAAAGACAATGGGGGCGCTGGGCACACACAAGTGCTGATGGTGAGCAAAAGAGATAAGCAACTCCATTTTGGACACCCGTGTTAAAATCAAAATTAAAAACCCTCATGGCAACATCAACATCTCTCTGAACAATGTCGCTCACACTACTCTGTAAAATCTTCCTGGTTCTGGCCAACAGCTGGCAAGTTGATCCCTGCAATTTTCCCTTTGCAGAAATAGCTTTGTGCGGGGAGAACTGACCCTAGTGGGCTAATCAGCCCCAAACCGCGCCAAACCTGGGAAGCTGCAGTGAGGGGACATTGCTGTGTTAAGTACTTTACAACAACTGTTTCTTCTCCTCTTGACACAGCCTGACTTCCTTAAAGAAGATTTGACTGGCCAGACAGCTGTGTTGACCCGTAAGCCTTCTTTGATTCGTGATTTTTTTTCACAAACAGAATAGAAATTCACCACCTAAATCCTTTCCTAAGCTCCCATACTTTTGAATTTGCTAGTGTTGTGCCTGAAGGATGTGGACATTTCAGTAATCTATAAGCACAAAGATAAAGATTGGGTCTACACAATCCCAAAACTTTCAGACAGCAATGGGGGGGGGGGGGGGGTGAACAGAAGCTTTATCCAAAGGTGGTACTTTAAGTTGTGTGTGCAAAATTTGCTTAATTACCTAAAAATTGCACTTTTCACTCAGACACTAGGGCAATGAACAATCAACAACAGATACAGGCACATCGTCTTTTTAAAAAAATATACAACCAGTTACCACTTTGGGTAATGGTGATGCACTTCTCTCCATATTTCTGTATTGCTCAACTCATTCAAAATCAAACCTCTATTTTTTATGTGCTGAAAAATGTAGTTATCTTTTCAAAACAAAGCAAAATGTCCAGTACTCTATCCACACGGGGGTAAAATGCAGGAATACTATATCAAAGGAGTGTGAGTAGCATAAAGAATTTTTGTGTGTGGTCACTGGATCTGATGACTCTGTCAGTTTCCAGTAAACCTTAGAGTCCAGGCAAAAAAAGAAGATATTTCTGTTCTCTCTCTCTGAGCTTTTTTGTGTTATACTGAGATTTCCCCCACACACCTCATTTCATGGTGTGTTTTTAATAACATCATAGGAACTGTTTTTCATGAACACTAAACCTCCCTTGATTTTCCTCATATACTGCTGTCCCTTTTATTCACCAGTGACAAATGCGGAATTTTCCTGCGCGTTCCCCCAGGGCACCCCGTCACTTACACCAGTCCGGAGTACAAAAACAGAGGCCTCCGTTTCTGCCATTTTTCTTTGCTTCGATACCCCCACGCCTCTGTGAAGCCGGTGTCCCCATTATTTCGCCATTTTTGACCCGGAAAAGCAGTGCCTCCCCACCTCACCCTCTGCTTAGCCGGCGGGCCTGGCCGGAGCCAGCAAATCCTTCAAATTCCCATTCCCCAGCGTCATCCAGGCTTTAGACATTATGGAGAGCTAGAACTGAAATTGTCCACTTCCCTCAATACCTGGCTCCTAACTCTCCTCATTACACACCAGAACGTTCAAGTCGACGGGGCAAGACGGGTTCCTGTCGAACCTGCCGCGCGGCAGAAACGCACCCCCAGACAGGAGTTAGGAAGGAGGCGGAGGATGGACGACGTGGTCTAGCTGCCCGCGTGGCCCAGGGTTTTGGAGAAAACGGTGTAAGGGGTGGGGAGAAGACAGGGAGCGAAAAGGCCAGCGGGGTGTGCGTAGCCTCGGAGTTCAGAGGAGCAACCGCGCTGTGCCTGAAGCGCAATCTGTCGGGGACCCCAGTGGACAAAGTCAAGGAAGAAAGGAGCACAGGGCATGCAAGCTGTGGGGTACAGCCTCAGCGCTGCGCAGAAGCGCTTGGAAGGCACAGACAGGTGGGCGCGGAGGAGAGGGAGCCGCAGAGCAGAGGCGGGCCACGGGCAGCTCCGCGCCACCCCCGCAGGGCACCCCAGGGAAGCGGGGAAGGGAGAGGCAAGGCCGGTGGGATGGGGTACGAGTGTCCACAGTGTAGTGTCCTCGGGGGGATGGCCAGGCCCACAAAACTGGACAAGCAGACTGCAGAGAAAGCCGTCCCTCGGCGCTGCTGTGGGGCCCCGGCCACTGCTGCGCGCGTCGGCACAGGCCTCCGCTGCCCCGGGACGCTTCCAGGATGGCACCTGCGTATCTGGGCACGCGGGCGCGTCCTGCACCTTCCAGAAGCGGGTGAGGGGTAAGGAGGACAGGGTCCCCCGCGCCCGCCGAGGCAGTGTGGGGAGCGATCCGCGGCGCCGGCACTTACTTCTCGTAGTCAAACTTGCAGTAGAGCTTCTTGTCCCGGTAGAAGCACGTCGTCTCCAAGGGCTCTTTGCAGGAGGCGCATTGCACGCACTGCTCATGCCAGAAGCTGTCGTTGAGCCGCAGCAGAAACCTATCCGAGATGACCCGCTGACAGCCCTCGCAGACAGACTTCGGGCTCACCGCTCTGCCTACAGCAGCAACAGACGTCCACCGATGAGCCGTGCTGGCCCAGCATCCCCCCCAAACCCGGCCCGCACCGCCACAGATCCATCACTCCACACTCACGGATCACCCCCGCGGGCCCCACCCCGGAAAGCCCCCTGCTAAACATCCAAGCTGAGACTGGGAGAGCACAACAAACCAAACCAAATAGCGTTTCTGATAAACAGGGACTATGTGGGAAGGTTTTAAATTCTACCTGGGGAGGGGCAGAAATCAATAAGTTGCCTTTAATTATCAAACCTATCCAGGTATGCACAATCCTGCACACCTCATGTAAAAACCAGCCTACAAATAGATTTGTGCTCCCAGGTTAATCAGCTAATCATCAAATAATTCACTATGCTTGTCTGCACTGTCTATGATTAAAACTATGAGTGTGTAAAAATAATTTTTCTGTTGTTTGGTTTTGTCCTTTGCTAAAATGCAATTTTGTTCTATTTATTTGGAGAAAAACTTTATACATTTTCTTTGCTTACTAAAAAGTCCCGTGCCTGCAAGAAAATACCATTCCCGCCCTAGGCAAACGGTATTGTTCAAACCAATGAGCCCCAAAGTGCTGGATGGCCTGCAAATTGCAGATGGGTTTTTCCATAATTAAAAAACATCAAAACGGAGAGAAGGGCGGGGCGGGAGGGTGGGCTGGGGAGGAAAGAAGCAGGACTCCAAGACACTGCAGTGTCCAGCCAGTGTTCCTGGAATCAGGCGAGCTCAGCAGTCACGAAAGAGGGCTAAACCGAACCCAAACCGACTCAGAGGGAAAAGGACTCTTCTCAATCCTAACCTCTGCACTCGCGGCAGTTTTGTTCCTTTAGTTTTCGGGTGCGGGTTGGGAGGGCTTTTTATTTTTTAGGGTTGTGGGGTGTTCGGCCACCTCGGTCACTGTCGGCACGTTTCGCAGCTATTTGGAGATGCTTTGTCCCCCAGTAACAATACTTTTGCGAGAGACGTCCCAAGGGCCTGACGCTTCCAAGTTTCCCTGCTACACTCGGCCCCTTTCCCCTTAGAAGACACAGCTATCGGCTCAGGAGCGGGGCCAGTCACCTTGGGATTCAGGCAGGCAGTGCTAGAAGTAGTGGGCTCTTTAAAGTATTTCCTATGGTTTTCTGCCCTGTCTCGGCGTCTAGGGCCGCGACCCCGGGCGCAGAGAGCGGACCTGAGACGGGCAGGGCGCCCCGGCCTGGCCGCGATGCCCGCTGAACCCCAGACGTTCGAGCGCGCCCTGCGCTAGGTCCGGGCCAGCTCTGACCCTCTGGCTCTTCCGAGGCTGTATGGAGTCGGGAAGTTTCCGACACGGCGGTTCAAAGAGGGGAACGCGGTGCACGCGATTTCGTTTCGTCTGGGGAGTGGGGGGGCGGGGTGGGGGGAGGATTTCCTCCCTCAGTCCGGTTTCTCCCGCCGAACTGTCTCATCCTCCGCCTACACCCCGCTCTAGCTGTTCCGAGTTAGGAAAAGAGGCAAGGGGTTTAAATGACAAAACGAAACCCCGCTCCCCCACTAAAAAAAATTAAAACACCCATTCACCAAACTTGAAAAGCATCGAGGGCGGCGAGGTGGGAGTGAGAATCCTTGGCTCCGGTTCGGTTTGACCCGCGTCTGGGTTGAGGCCCGGGGTTCGCCGCTCCTCCGCAGTCACTGCGAAGGGACTGGGGAGACCCAGGAGGGAGCGGGACCCGCGAGACGAGAGATCCGGCACCAGTTAATTAAAGCCGAGGCTAGGGCCCCGCCGCGCGGGCTAATCCCCGCGATGCGCTGCCCACCCGCCCGGAAAAGCCTCTTGGCGGTGCTCGAGGCTGAGACTGGGGCTGGAGTTGGAGGCGAGAAGCTCGAACTTGGGTGCTCCAGACCTCGGGTTTGTGTGCGCATCGCTAAGTCTCGGAAAAGAGGGCGGCATTTATGAGATGTCGATCAGCTCTATGATTAAAAATCCAGCCTTGGGTATTTTTAATCACTTGCCATTCAAACGCCCGCGAGCAAGCTCGCCCGCCCCTCTCGGCTCCAGGGAGTTCGGTGCCCGGCCCAAGAGGCCTGGGGCGGCTGGTCGGTTTAGGGTGGGGAGGACCCACAGGTTCTGACAGATAGGGAGTGAGCTCAACTGAGTGCGCGAAGCGGGGCGCTAGCTCCCCTACTGCTGTGTCCCAGAGAGCTGGACGCCAGAGCTGGGGCCTGGCGGAAAGACGGTGCGCCCGCGGCGCAAGGCCTGAACACTCACCCAGCAGCGAGGAGAAGGAGGCCGACGTTTCGATGGCGCTTTGGAAGTTCTCCTCCATCTTCAGGCCGTCCAGCATGTTCGGGCCGCGCGGGGTGGACCTGCAGAGGAGAGGAAACGACGCTTTGGGCGTCTGAACCCCTAGGACGCGGCACACGCAAGCCGCCACACTCTTGGGAAAGGACGGAGGGAGTGTCCAGGGTGACCAGAACGAGCTGCGAGGGTAGAATTCAGCCAAGAGAAACGTGGGCTAGGAGGAGAGAAAGCAGTCACAGCGAACTGCTCTGACTGATCTGATTTCATTCGAAGCCAACGCGTTAAGTACTTAGGCCTCCGCCCCCCAACTGCGTTTCTCCTGCCCCTGTCCCCCACCCCCTCGCCAGGTCCCCAGCCCCAGGTTTCCCCACCCCGAGTTCGACTCCGCCCCAACCTATACCAGTCAGGGCCCTAGGATGCCTCGGCGGGAACCCAGCTACTAGTGTAAGAGAAAAAAGAAGTGGGTATTTTCCCTCGCGGGGCCGAGCCCAGGCACGCGGAACTATGAGATCTACAGCCCGCGCCGGGACCCGCAGCGTTGCGTCCCTCACCTGCCCCGGCCGAGAAGGGGCAGAGCGAGCGATCCGGAGAGCGTCCCGCCAGCTCCCAGACTCGGGGCGCTGGGATCTGCCAGGGGCGCGCGGGGCGCGCAGGGAGGTCCGCCCGCCGGTCGGCCGGTGCCGGGAATGTCTGCAGAAGCGAAGAAGTCGCCTCGGGGAGGAGCGCGGCTGGCCCTGCTCACTCTTGGATGCATTTCAAATCAACTTTCAGAAACACGCCCGCCCGAGCTGGAGCCTAGGAACAGGCAGCCTTCCTTACCTGATGGGTGAACTCGCTCCCCGTGGCAGGAGCCAAAAGAAGTTGCCGAGCGCTGCGGGAAGCTTCGGCCGGGGGAGGCGCAGGCCCTCGAGGCTCCAGCCGGAGCGGCCGCCCCCGGCTCCGGCGCGCCCGGGAGGGAGCCGGAGCGAGCGCCGGCCCCTGGCTCCGCTCCTCGGCGCGCCCGGGCCGGGCCGGGACGTGGCCGCGGGCGGCCGGCCTTGCTGGGACGTCCTGCCCGCCCGCGTCCTCCTCGGGAGGAGAGGAGGGCCCGATGCTTCTCCCAGGCTAGAGCGGAGGCGGAGGCCCAGGGTCCTGGGTGCGAGTCGGGCCCTGCTTGGCTGGGGCGGATCCGGCCGCTTCTGACAGGGACCGCGGCGCTGCGTGCGCGGCGGAGGGAAGGGGGTGGGGTGCGCAGGGAGGGGGCTGGGAGCGCGTCCCGCGGAGGGCCAGCGGTCGTCCCTTCCCAGCCCCGCGGCTCAGCCCAGCCTCGCGGCCCCCGCCGGGCGAACTCCTCGGCCGATGCGACCCTCCCGGGCACGCAAAGTTTCCTCCTCTCCACGTGTACCGCTACCTCTGGACGCGCTGACGCCGCGGCGCCCGCGGCTCCGCGCCCCCGCTACGTTTTCGCTGAGATCTCCCCGCCACCTGGACCGCGGCGCCCGCACGCTGCTTCCGCGGCCGCTCTCCAGCCACTTCGAGAGCACCGCAAACCTCACGAGTCGCGAACAAGGCCAAGAAGCAGTTTGCTGCGCGTGGCTGCGGGACCCTGAAGCTCAGAGTTCTTCAAGCCCCTTCTTGGCCACCCGGGGCCCCCACACGTTCCCAGCTTCCATTGGGCTGGAAGCGGCGTTCACCGTTTCAGTTCGAAAACCGCTCAAGGTTGGGGTGTGCGGATGCCGTAGGATCCAAGGCCAGAACTTGAATCAGGCTCCTGGGAGCGACTACACGGGATCTGACCCCAAGGCGACGAGCTCCGAATACCAGCGCGCAGGAAGTCAGCTAAGGGGGCATTCTTAGCGGAGCAAAGCATCTGGGGGTGGGGTGGGGGGAATGTTAACTCACTAAACCTCCTAACCCTAGCCTCCGGTGGTAGAACTTTAACCCCTGCAGGAGCAGAAACTGTGTCTCCTGTGTATTCCAGGAGGTTAGCACAGTTCTGCGCCCCAAGTGGATGCTAATTAAGAAAGAAAAATCATGACACCGCTAATACTTAACCGAATATTTCTTTTGTTTTAGTCTTGGTCGCAGAGTTAACTCATTTAATTTTTACAACAACCCTATGAGGTGGAGACATTATCCCAGTGTTAACAGGCGAGGAAAACAGAACACAGAGGGCATCTGAGCACTCCAGGAAGGTTCCATTCGGTGGGGTTCTCTGGGGGCCCCCCAGGTCTGAACCGAACAGAAGTGAACTGGAATTGCCACGCATTTTGGCAAGCCGAACCTGAGCAGAGGAGATGCCGCTGAGCAAGCTTGTTTCCTGTTACCTGCTCCAAGGACAGGACAGCTTTCTTATTTTTAAAGCAAAAATACTGGCAGCACTTGCTCCAGTGCGTTTAAGAGCAGTGACCCCACTTTAAGTACACTAGACCAATAAGGGCACGCCAAACCCTGAGTATCACTTCAGAAGAACCAGGGAAAAGGGCAAAGAATTTAATACTTTACATTTGAACGTTATTTTACACTGTTCAAGGCCCTTTTACACACATGATTTTGCTTGATCTTTACAACAAACCTGTGAGGTAGGCAGAACAAATAGTTTTCCCCGTTGTTTCAGATGAATCTTCAGGGCTTAGCAGGGCTGGGAGATTTCTCTGATGTTGCCCAGATGGCTAGCTGCATGTCCCCTGACACCAGTCCTTTGTCCTTTTTGTCACCTCATGTAGAGGAAGAGGTGGAAAAAAAAAAGTGTATGAATTACAAGGATTCTTAGGATAATACATAAAATAGAAGTTAGGGAAGAAAGAAAGTTAGGCAAATACAATCATAAAGAATATTTTTAAATGCCCAGCAGAGTTTTGGTTTCACTAAAGATCTTGAATTTGTAAAATATGTTAACTAGTGATGAGAATATTTCTTTGAGAGGATATCCTGAAAGTGGGTAGATCCACAGAGTTGGATCTGTGGCCCAACTTTTTCAAATGGGCCTTGTATCTGGAAAGTGGCCTGATTAGTGTAGATTACCCAAGGATTTGGTGGGAATGTTTTTCCCCAGATGGTTCTTGGGCGTCTGCAGGATGCAGATGTATCTGATAATACATTGTAAGTCATAGGGTCCTTGATGCAAAGCTAGGCACATATATGTGATCAACAAGTGATTAATTGATGGATGAGGGATGCACTCAACCTTTGGTAGGCAGAGGGAGCACCTCAGTAAAGGTGCAAACATAGTGGGTCAGGAATCAAAGGACCTCAGTTTCATTCCCAGCTCTGTCACTAGGCCGGTTGCAGCATCAGTTCATTTCTCTGGCCAACAGTGCTTCCCTTCTGAAATGAGAGGGCTGTATTTTTTAAATATGGTCTGTAAAGCCCTCATAGTCTAAAGTTCATGTAATCAGACTACCTTTGGACAACGGGATGGGCAGGAGAACCAGTGTATTCTTACCATGTGCTTTGCAGAATCTGTCTAAGGGTAGACTAGCTGATATGTCTAAGTGATGTGTCTAAATCAATACAGATAGCAGTAGCAGTGCTTAGTAGCCAAGTTGTGTCCCACTCTTTGCAACCCCACGGTCCATAGCCCACCAGGCTCTTCTGTCCATGGGATTCTCCAGGCAAGCATACTGGAGTGGGGTGCCATCTCTCCAGGGGGTCTTTCTGACTCAAGGATCGAACCCACATCTCCTAAGTCGCCTGTTCTGTTAGGTGGATTTTGTACCACTGAGCCACCTGTGAAACCCAAACCAATAAAGATACACTGTGTTTATTCAGAATTTTCTCTTGTATGATTTATCTTACCTCTGCCAATGAATTAGAGATCGTGAATCCCACTCCTACACCATATTGTTGCCCTGTGGCCTTAGTCTGCTCAGTGATGTGAATGAGTGAACGGGCATATTTCTATTTGTGAACCATCCTTTTTTGCCTTGTGTTTTCCATTTTTTGCCTTGTGTTTTCCGAACACTCTTATTTTACCTTTTTAATGAAAAAAGAAACACAGAGCCACCATTCAGAAGCTCTTCATGAAAAATAAGCCAGGTTCTCCCTTTTATCAGGAAGAAATATTTTTTTCCAATAATTTGTCCAAGTGGGGTAAACAGGCATTAGAAGAGACATGCCAGATTACAGACCTTTTGAATTGGAAGTGACCTTAAAGCGCATCTGGTCCAACCATTTCATTTACATGGTCAAATTTCTTCCCCTAGAACTGCCACCTCTGGTCCATTGATTGCTCAGAGCTGGCCACTCACAATGTCAAATCCTCGTTCCAAAATCTGTCATATGTGGGCAGAGCAGTCTTCTGCATCCAATTCACTTTTCTCAGAACCTGCTCCAGTTTTTCTCTATCTCTCATAAATTATGACAGCCAGACCTGTTGCAACTTTCCAGTGGTCCTGTGTTCCGGGCCTCATCTCCTTTCTCTGGCCATAAAACACTCATTAGCACAGTCAGATTTTTTGTTAGCCTTTTCAGGGGCTGGTCACTGTTGACTCAACTGCTCAGTCCTATTCCATACAGGATGCTGATCAGCCACATCTTTCCCAGATTGCCATTATACAGTTGGTGTTTGGCCTCAAGTGTGGAAACTTACACTTATCCCTGGTAAGAGATAGGCAGCTGTCCCAAACATCAGAAATTTTGCAACTTCAAGACTGTGTCGTAAGCCTAGTTGTCTGCTTTAGGAGAAAATGTGGAGCCATTGCCAGGCTGGTCCACCAGCTGCCGTCACTGGTGAAAGTGGAAGTGAAAGTCACTCACTCGTGTCCGACTCTTTGCAACCCCATGGGCTATACAGCCCACGGAATTCTCCAGGCCAGAATACTGGAGCGGGGAGCCTTTCCCTTCTCCAGGGGATCTTCCCAACCCAGGGATCAAACCAGGGTGTCCTGCATTGCAGGCGGATTCTTTTACCAACTGAGCTATCAGGGAAACCCAGGGCAGACAAAAGCCAGTGAATGAGGCGTCTCCATGGGGCTCCAAGAGGGTGCCCGGGAGCCTTGTAACCGGGGGTACATCTTTCAGTGGGAGGTGACCAGATCCCGTTCAAGTCCTCTCCCATTATCT